AGGGTTGTTTTGGGCTCTGCATTCTTGAGGTAGCTCAATGCAGTCGTGTTCTAGAGAGAGAAAGGTAAAAATGTGCACTTAGATGTCTTTGCATAGTCAGAAGCAGCATCAGATGCTCCCCAAAAAAGGTTTCTCTTTTATTTTGAAAGCTAAGACTAACATTGGTAATTGTAGAAATGGGTAAACTCACTTGTTTGGAACATTTATGGCTATAAAAGGATGCTTAGTGTTGGCACAGCTCTACTTGTTTCACAAATACAAATATTAATTATCCATTCAGTGGAGCCTCAATAAGAGGATATTTCCATGTGCTGTGCAGGAGGAGAAAAAAACCCAAACTAATTCCAGAATTAAATTAAGTTTGATATAAAAAAATAAAAACTGTAAATCCCAGAATAAGGATGAGTCTGGTAGAAAAGATTTACTCCCAGTTTTAAACCTTATCCCTGACATAGCAGAACACATGGAGACCTGGGCTGAAAGGCTGCATTGCACACTTGTACTCACAGCAAACACTTATTTATAGCAGTTTCCTTATTATGAGTAGTGAAAAAATTCCTGATGTCCTCCCATGTCCCCCAGAGTTGAGATTTGCTTGAACTAAAACAAAAAGATGTGGAAGAACTATAAAAATAAACCCATCTGTTCAGTATTCTTGTGATCTGCCTTTGTAGGGGTTGTTCTGTGTGGGTTTGGGGTGAGAAGCCAGGGTTGTGTCTGTGCTCCTGTCTGACCAGTGCTCCCCAGTGCTCTCCCAGTGCTTCCCAGTGCTCTCCCAGTGCCCTTCTAGTGCCTCCCAGTGCCCTCCCAGTGCCCCCCAGTGCCTCCCAGTGCCCTCCCAGTGCTCTCCCAGTGCCCTCCCAGTGCCTCCCAGTGCCCCAAGCCAGACCTCACACTGCCCCAGCCTCTCCCTATTTTCCTGGCTTAAAGAATATGAAGAGCTGCCAGGACTCTTCCAAAGAAAGCTGCTCATGAGGCATCCAGCCTGATTTATTGATATATCATTTTATAAATTTTATCTCTATTGTGTTTCCATGGTGCTGAATTTTTACCTTTATAACTTTATCGTGTGGGTTCACTGTGAGTGAACATTATTGGTGTGGGAGTCAGCTCCAGACACAAGACTTGCATCATTACTTTATGTTTAATAAAACAGGAGCTCCAGATTTTGCTGTCATTAACACTCTACTCAGTTTTGTCCCCCTCCCTTTTTCTCTCTCCTTTCTGGTTTTTTTCGTGTTGCCCCAGGGCGTGTGGAATTCTACAGTTCCTGCATCTCAAAGGCATATGGTGCTGCTGGGTTTGCACATATGCTTTAAAAGTATTATAATACCAAAAATATTCAAACATTGTAATAGAATATAAGATTATATCCAGGTTCTAGCGTAATTGAAAATGCCAAATTTGATAAGGGAGAAAAATTTAAATGAGAGTCCCACCTTCCTCGATCTGCAGTGAGATGATGGCATTGGATTTTGGGTTTGTCAAATATGTAATAAAAGAGCCCAAATCACAGCAGATTTAATTGTGCTGTTTTGAATTGTGCCGTCCTGTTTTAGCTGAAGTTACTGTGCTTGTGATTAAGCCATTCCTCGAAAGGATTTGTTTTGTTTTCTTCTGCCTTCATTCTTTGTGTCTTACAATGTGTTCAGTCAGCTCTTGTGATTAGAGAGATTGCACTCCGGGCTTGGAGATGTCAGAGGCAAAACAGCAGAAACAAAGCAAGAAAAGCAACGCTCTTGCACTTGGAAAGTGCAATTGGTGCTCAGTGGAAGCTCTGCGTGCTCCCAGAGAAGCTGTGGCTGCCCCTGGATCCCTGGGAGTGTCCCAGGCCAGGTTTGGGACGCACCCAGGACGGGGCTTGGAGCAGCCTGGGACAGTGGGAGGTGTCCCTGCCATGGCTGGGGTGGCACTGGGTGCTGTTTAAGGTCCTCCCAACCCAAACCACTCTGGGATCCCATGGTTCACCCTCCTTTCTTGCCAGGCTCAATGAATTCTGTGCCACATTGTTCTGTGGGCTTTCAGGGTTTGCATGGGGCCATATTCCTGACCACTGTGATTGTCTCTAAAGACCCTAAAAGATCTCCTCTTGCTCAGACCTTAGGCTGTGCAGGGATGAGTTTCTACAGCTGGTACCTCTGCCTCCATTGTAAAGGATATTTCATGATTTATTCTAGCTGAAGGGATCCTTGGGCACTGCAGATTTCTATTTTTTGTCATTTCATAGAGACTATTAACTTCTGAATGAAACCTTTCTCAGTTACTAGTTTAATCTTTGCTAAGATATTTTTACTGGTGGTGAATGCTGCCCACACACAGGAAGACACAATTCTGCCCTAGACATCTCTCAATATAAACTTAAAAGTGTATAAAGAACATGCATGCAAAGGGCAGTGCTTTAATTGCTGGAACTGCCAAGAATGCAGCTCAGCTAGAGGAGCAGGCAATGCTCAGAGGGTGGGATTAGCCTTGTTTGTCTGGAGATCAGAATCAAATGTTGTTTAAAGTCATAAATGAAGAAGAAATGCATCATGTCCTTATGATCTCACTAGGAAAGCTCGGCGGTCACACCCCAGGTCAGAATCTCTCTCTTGTATTTTCACAGACAAATTTCTGCCTTTTTTTCTTACCCCACCTAAAAATTACAGAAGGTATTAATTCACACATTAGGCTTTCTGATCTCTGGTGTGCACTATGGAGGTGCAAAGTATCACTCTAGCAGCATAATTTATCAGCATTAAAATCTCTGACATCTCATTCTCCCAAGGAAGCTGGCAATGAAAACGGAAAATGGCTCTGTGTGATTTCCTTCTGGTGGCAACAAATGTAAAAACAATGGGAAACAGAAGGAAAGTAATGTCTTGCTGCAACCCTAAATTCTAATTTCCAAATCCTGCACGAATCATGGAACAATTGTGGAGATGTGGAATATACAATTGAGGAAGAAAAATGTCACCATTGCCTGCAGAAGGCATTTGGGTTTCTCCTTGTCAGTGCCCTGTCCAAAGTTCAAAGCTATTTCTGGATTGAAGAAGGGGCTGGATAAAATGAGGACATATTTGTGGGTGGGCTGGCAGTGATTAAGGAACTCCAATCTCTCGTTCCTGGGCCAGAACCTTCTCACCAGAGGAGTTTAGGGCAATGTCAGGTGTTTGGCCAGTTGTGTATTTTCCCTTCACAGCAAATATTGGCCAGTGTCCATTGCAGGCAACGAAGGCCCAGTCCAGTCAGAGGAACAAGAGCATGGAGAGTTGATAGGATGAGTGTGGGGCTGATACCACACTGATACCAGGAGTAGGAGGCTGATACCACACTGATACCAGGAGTAGGAGGCTGGATAAGGTCTGAGTACCAAGGGAAACATCTTAACAATGCTCTAGATAATGCAAATCCTCAAATTTTCTTCTCACAGACATGTTTCTCTATAGTACAAAATTCTCTAAAGGTATTTCTCAGGGACAGAACCCTTTTGAAAAGGCTTTTGTTATCTCACAGGTTGGCTTTGTGCAGTATGACAGAGTGTACAATGTGATGGCCTGTGTTTTATACCTCCTGCTATTTCAGTCATACAAATAGCTCCTGGAGAAACATTCACTCCACACAAATGCATATTACATACCTCGTTTGTAAGTAAAGTGGCACTTAATAAATGTGGAACACCTTTGGTTATCAAGATGTTTGAAATTCTTGGTGCACTTACGAACAGGAAAGTCACTTCCATAACAAGAGCCACACAGAGTGCCCAGGGAGATTTTGCAGCTTGAGAAAGACATAATGTGAGCCATGAATATCCGAGGTGGGGAAGGAGTGTTTAAATGGCATGAACAAATGACAGGCTCCATAGAAGTTAGACTGTGATTATTGCCCTGCAAGATATATTAAAGGTATTCATTTATAAAAGTGAGCTGCTAAGGATCTATTCCCATGTGTTGAGTGGAGAAACTCCTGAGGCTCCTGCCTGGAGCAGGGGTTGCACTGTGGGCAGGGCTGGGATGCTGCTCTGGTATTCTCACACCTCCTCACGCGTGTCAGAAGCTGTGCTTGATCCGTGGACGCCTTCCCCCTTTCCTGGGGCTGGGGAAGGAAAGCAGCGTGTGCAGAGCCTCAGGTTCTGTGGGGATTTGCTGAGTTGTTTATGTGGAGCTGATCTGTTTCTTTACTGTGATGCTCCATAGAAGGAACACGCCTTCAGGCTTCACCCCAAAATCCTGGTTTCTCTTTAAAATGCCCCCCGCTTTCTCTGGCCAAAGTGTTTGACCCTCTCGCACCATTCTCATACGCTGTAGCTGCTGGCCAGCACAGTAATATTATACTTTTAGTGCCTTATTTAGCGGAGAAATTAAATGTAATGTTCAGATTATGTAGAACATTAACTCCTAACAATAAGCAAATAACACATTAGAAGCTTTGCTGTTAAATCGTTTGGTGCTGGCTCTGCTGTGGAGCTCTCCAGGAGCCGTGACTTTTGTTCCGCGAGGGAGGAGGCTCGGCGGAGAAGGAACGAGCCGGGCTCTCTGTCCTCTCTAAGGTGGTGCCCGTGCCCCGAGCGCACAGGCGGTGTTAGGACGAGCTTTACGGAGCTCCATCCATGTAGCCGAAACACCTGAGCCCGGCTGTGCCGGCCATGGCCGCGAGTCCCGGCGGCTCGGAGCAGGTACCGGGGCCGTGCCCGGCTCGGCGGGGGAGGCGTCTGGGCTGGGGCTGCCGGACCCTCGGCCAGCCCCCGCTCCCGTCAGGAGCTGCGATGTGCCAGTCTCGTCTTTCAGACGGGATTTTTATGGGAGCTGATGGTTGCCAGGGCAACAGAGGCTTCGGGGAGTCTCGCGCGCCGCAGCCCCGGCCTGGGAGCGCCGGGAGCAGATGTTGGCTGACGCCAGGCGCTGCCAGCGCTGCTCATGCGGGAGCTGCCGAGGACGCCGTGCCCGGCTGCACGGGCGGCTCCGCTCCCGCTCCCCGCTCCCCTCTGCCTTGTAATTTAGTATTCTTGTCTCACCCCACAGGGGTTCCTCAGCCGTCGGCTTAAAGGCTCCATCAAAAGGACAAAGAGCCAACCGAAGCTCGATAGGAACAGCAGCTTCCGGCACATTTTACCTGGCTTCAGGAGTGTGGACCATGAAAGGTAAGGGGACGTTTCGCGGAGGGTGTGGGAGAGAGAAGGAGGATATTGATTTTTCCAGCGCTTGTGAAGATCTTGCTTGTCTTATTCAGAGCAAGGACTGCATCTCTGATAGAAGTAGACTCGGTTAATTGCAAGAGGGGTAGTTTTAATTTGTTGCTGAGGGTACGGTGCAAGCCCTCCCTTTTCAGGTTAAATTCCAGGTGCAGAGAAGCCTGACTGCTCTGCTTCCTCTTCCCCAATAAATCCTAAATTGATGCACCAGCATATAAATAGCACAGAGATGCAGCAGCCAGAGCCGACTGATGCAGGTGAGGGAGGGAGGGAGGGATGCTCCCGCACTGGACTGCACCGATCACTACTGGGTTCCACACGGTAGGAACAATACCGTGGAACAATAACAACCATAATCTCCCCAAATCCCTCTCTCCCCCTCTCACACATCCGGCTCCATCCCGCAGTTGTCTGCCGTCATTACACGGAGATGGAGCCTCGGCGTGTGGCCGGAGCTGCTGCTTCTGCCTGAGCCATGACAGGAGCTCAGTCCAGGAGGGATGTGTTGCAGGGAATGTGCAGATGGATCTGATAAAGCATTTCACGTGGGATGGCCAGTACTGGAGCAAACTGAGAGTAAAATAGAAGAGAAATGAGATCTTTGAGATTCTTCAGCTGGTTAGAAAGTAGAGCAGCTCTTTAGTGGATTTGTGTGTATTTATGTCTGTGTAGATTTGTGTTAGTGTGAGCTTCAGACAGGCACCGCTCGAGGTAAATTCATGTGTAAATTCACATGCAGATCAAGGTCATGCTTGGAGAAGACAGGTTCATTTACCAACCACAACCCAGTGGTTTCTTCCAAAAGGAAGATCTTTCAACCTTACATAAATCATTTTGGGGAGTGACAGAAATATTGAAGTGCCAAGCAAAGTCTGTGTCTGAAAATTCCGCCAGGCTGGACATACCGTGATGTAACCAGTTCAGAGCAGTTTAATACACCAGGATGGTACTTGAGAACCCATTGAGTAAATACTTCACTTTGAAAAGCAATGACAACTTACTTTGTTTTAGCTGTACTTATTCATTGGAGCTTTTGAAGCTCACAAACAACAATTGTCAATCTGGATTTTACCTGACCTATTGCAGCCTCCTAAGCTTTTCCGTTCTGGATTGTGAAGTGAAGTGATTGTGCTGGTTAGTGCCGAGTAAGATTTCAGGTATTACTCTCTGGGCAGGCAGAGTTGATTTGATTCCTGTGCTGCAGTTTTCCCAAACGCTCGAAGTAGGGCACTGTGTTCCAGAGGGAAGCGAGCGGAGCCGGGTGGCCGGGAATGTGCCTACGGTGCTGCTGCTTTGCTCAAAGAACAGGCAGATTAGGCAAGGTTTCCCTTCTACCTGGATGAGTTTTGTTTCATTCTGTGACTTGGCAGGATAGCACTTGGGAATTAACTGTTCTGGCCAGCCCTGTAGCCAGAGTCATTTTCCCAAATTAAGCCTTGTAATTTCCCTGCCCTCCCAGCACAGCAGCCCTGGGAGCTGGCTGGGCTTCCTGAGACCCAGATGTACTGCAACTTCTCCTTAAAGAGACTCAGGGAATCCGAGTCACATTTGCAGCATAGAGCTTAAAGGGTGTCTTAGAGGAGAGTTGGCACTTGGCAGCCTCAAATAACCAAGGATTTGCTTATATGAGTACGAGAAACTGAAAATGAATGCTACCTTCATGATACCTTCATGATACCTAGAGATAGACCTTCTGTTAGGCAGGCTTCTCTCAACAATGCACTTCTTCTGTGATACACAGACATCCCTGAGCTGCAGGACACTGAGACTCAGAGGCTTTTGACAGCAGGCTCTTAGTCCCTCGCTGCCATCGCAGTGTCAGATCTGTCAGGTGAGCAGGGGTCCTCTGCAGGAGAGCTTGGCCTTAGGGACTGTTGCTCTCAGAGAGGTGAAAGCAAAGCAGCAGCTGGGTCTCTCAGTCATGCAGCGAGGCTTTGGTTACAGAAGATAATTTTATCTTTCTGAACATTCCCATCCCATTGTATGTGCACAATGTGTATGAAAGAGCTCAGGTCTTTCAGATCATTCTCATGCATTTGCTGCTGTGCTTGTCTTGCTTGTAATCCAAGAACTGTTTCAGAGAAGCATTTGGTATTGGAATATTCGCCTCTAAAATATTTGATTCTTGACTCCATCTTGTATCGAAGCTGATTGTTCAGGAGCCACTCCTCTGCTCGTGGAAGTCACCATTGTAACAGTGCTCTGGAGCGTGGGCCAATTTTTGTGGGAATGCCATCGCAAAAATGAATAGTGCAGTAAATGCAGTCAAAACACTCCAGGTTGAAATACTGAGCTACAGTAGATGCTAAATACTTCTGTTACTTGGCTTCTTTGTATCTAAATTGGGACTGTTCCTACCTTTTAATTCCTTTATTTTTCCCTTCCTTGTTTGCCTTCCATGTCCTGTTTATCCTGCAGATGAATTTATGAAATACATGAACTGTGCACATGCATGTTCAGACAGATAATGACACGGATGTGGCTTGTGTGGGGGGCAGAGAATGTAAACAAATACATTTCACTAAATTACTGTGGGGTTCACGTGGATGGATTTGGCCAAATTTTGCCACTCTTGCGCACGCTGGGTTTTTTCCTGTTACAGTAACAGTAATATGATTATTGGTAGTAAAAGAAGCAAAATCAGAGCAAGTGTAACTCACCTTCTGTATGAGAGGTGCATTAATATGGTACAATCAGAGTATGTAAATATGAGATGTAAAGGAAGATTGTGGAATGAGTGTTCCTTTCAATTTGGTGGCTGGTCATACTGCTTGTTAGAGCTAAAAAGGGTTCCAAAAAGTGGCTTTTTGCTAACAATGTCTCCTGCCTCCTGATTTATTACAGCAGCTCACTAAGTTTTTATCATGGAGTGCTGAATGCTTGGCTTTGTAGTGGCCTCTGGAATCAGCCACAAATCAAGCATTTGGCAGATGGATTTTTCTTAATTGGACCCACATTTCTCCTACAAAATCTGTGATGGAGAAAATTTCTGGGTTGGACATGGAGCACAGGGAGGAGAGGCAGAGAAGGGAGAGAAGGTTGTTCTGCTGCAGTTGTTAATTATTGGTGGGGGTGTATTGCTGATGCTTTACTTGTAGTGATTTTACACCAGCACTGAGAGGGCAGGGCCACAGTATCACTGTGCTTTCAGATTGTCTTGATTTGGTGAAAAATGGGTGCTCTGGGTAACTCTGTGTTCTGATGGAATCTCTGAACTGATCATTGCTGGAGACACCTTTCCTCAGCTTACCTAGAATCCATTTAATGCTACGGGATTACCAACATTTGTGATTGTTTTGCAAAGTTTTTTGTTTCGTTTTTTATAATTCCAGGAGATAACATTCTATTTAAGCTTTTATTGGCACTACAAAAGCCTGAGCATATGGTTGATTGTTAAATGAGCCTCAGCCTTGGAAAGGGTACAGCCCTGCATTAATAACAGCAGCAACTTGCACTACTGAGACTTCCTCTTTCAACTCCTTTTTGTCTTTAGCTCATCCAAAATTTTTGCTTCTAATCCCCAGAGGGAAGAGGAATTGTACAAATCATGTACTGCAGCACATTTATTTCCTACTGTAGTGCCCATGCTGTCTGTTGTAGGAGCTTTCCATGTGCACAAAGCTTATTTTGGTGCACCAGGAACTGATGAACATCTGTGCTCCTGCAGCAAACTTAGTTTGGGAGTTCTTGGAGATCTAATTTGTTTATTCCCAACAAACCTGACATGCCAAATATTTTTAGGCATGATGAAATTGGTTAAGTTTGATGAGAACCTGGTGAGTGCTGCATGGTGAAGAATGAAGAAGTTGCTCAATTTCCTCTGGAATTGGAAAGAGGAATGACTCATCCTGCAGAAGTAGGACACTGGCAGACCCCAGAACCACAGAGGGCTTTCAGATCTGTGTGATCAAGTGCTGGAAAGCTGCTTCCTCTTCTGGCTCCTGCTGAAATGGTTTTATCCAGGGAAGCTGGCTGAGTAGGGAAACCTACACCAGAGGGGACCCCTGGAAGGGTGGCACTGACACCGCTCTACTGACAGCCAGGCTCTGCCTTTGATTGCCATGAAGATATTGAGGAAACCCTGCAGTTTGTGTAGGGGAACCATCCAGCTCCATCAGCTGTGACTGAAATGCAGAATAAAACATCTTGCACAGCCAGGAGCATCCAGCAGTCACTCGTGTGACATTCCATGTCATTCATGCCGGGGGTGGTGCCCGTCCCCATTTCCCTCCTCCATCAACAGATTTTATCAGAAAAATCAAGATTCAAGGACAGGCTCAGAATTCAGACTGGCCACATGCAGTACCTGCATTTATACCAAGGTCCTGGAATAAGCAAATCAGCCTTTTAATGGGGTTCCTTTGCAAAATATTTCTTGAACCAGAAAGTTAATTACTGATCTCTAATTAGTGGCTGGATTAAGAGGCTAGAGTGAAATCAGAGAGAGCTGCTTTGAAGGAGAGATGCAGGAAGAAATTACCATTTCTCTCCATAAACTGTGATGTTCCCCATCTTCTTCTCATGGTATCAGGAAGTTTTGACATTTTTAAAAGGAGAATGTTGTTAATGGAAAGAGGGCATTTTCTGGGAGGCGTTGAAAGAATGGTAATTTAATAACTCCAGGAGGGACAGAGATGGACTGAAAGCAATGTGGGGCCTTTCAGCTTTTCCCAAAGCAGCAGCAAGGTCCCAACTGTTCCTCCTGTTAATTTGACTTTTGGAGATACCTGTGAACTTGTATCAGAAGCTGCCTGAGGTAAATGCATTCCCCATTCTCAAAGGGTACAGAAGCACTTCCTTTATCCTGCTCATCCAAAGCAACTCCCTAACTGATCAGGGGGTCACGCCTAAAGCTTTCAGTAAAGACTGTATTAGCTCCTGGTAATTCATCAAGTCATAATAAATGTCAGGGGACAGGCTAAGAGGCTGGAATGGTTTTCAAAGAGTCA